TCACATGTATTATGTCATTTAATTTTCCCTATGAGGTGGCTATTATTATTAACCCCACTCTAATAATAAGGAAACTTGAGGTCCAGAGAGGTTGGTTAAATCACTCCCTCACTCTGGGTTACATAACTAGGAAACAAGAGAGCAGGATTTGAACCCAGATGGGTCTAACTCCAAAACCAGTGCTCTTAACTATTGTGCCACACTGTTGGCTTAATATACCTTTCCCTCCCCTCCTTCCTGCCTGCAGCCCTATGACATTCCCATTGATTCCAGGGTTCCCATCTCTCAGCTCTTCCTGCCCACCCATGATACCTGCACCCCCCCCCCTCACCCGATGCCCATGGTTCTGGATCTTGTAGTCTCGGGCGGCTCGGCTCGTCCAGCGCTGAACCTCTTTCTCCAGGCTACTGTCCCCAGCCATGCCTCCTGCGTCCCCCTCCAGCTCCAAGGCACACACCTGCATGAACAATGAACACAGGTGCTGTGAGGAGGACCTGATATTGCTCCTTCACTACAGTCTCCTCCTTTTTTCTTCTTTCTGTCCTGACTTCCAGGGACAAAGAGGTGAGGGCACACACCTATGTATATAGACACAGGTGTGCCTTCCTGTGGACACAGAGACACAGAGAGTCCCCAAAATGGGATCTGGGTTGAGGGATAGAGATAGAACGATGAGGATAGTGCAGTCAAGGACCGGAAAGGTGGAATAAAATATGTTTATTTGTGTCCTGGTGGGAAGGAGGTGAACTAGAGTTCTGAAGCCACATAACAGTCACCAAGTCATTATCAGGACAAGATGATGAGGGAGGAGGCCTAAACCACAGTCCCCTTTACATGTGGTTTGGTTCCAATGAACAGTGGTCTCACCTGATCAGTCCCTGCAGGCTGAAACTCCTGAGGTGGTGTAGGGGAAAATACTCCAGGCTCCTGAAGAAAAAGCTTCAAATCTTGCTCCCAGCTTACCTGGGGGGGTTGTAAAAGGTCAAAGTAGGCACTCACTGGTTACCTCTCTAAGCCTGTCCCCAGCCCCTCTTGGAAGAAAGAAGGCAGATAATGCAGTGGGTGGTCTGTACTGAAAGAGCAGGGTAAAGAGGATCTCTGGGGAGGTCTTACAGGGCACAGCCCTCACCTGGGAGGTTGCCTGTGCTCCATGGCGGGCATGCTCCAGGGCCATCTCTGCAGCTTCCAGCTCAGTGCGGCTTAGCAAGGTCAGGGGGTCCCTCAAGTGTTCCAAGAGCTCGCTGACCAGGGCCTAGAGAGAACCCTGAGATAATGATACTACCCTTCCCCCAACATCTACTGCAAAGTAGGCTCTCTGCCCAGGTTTAGATTGGTATGGGCATGAGGAATTGGAAAGAGGGAAGGAATGAGACATTATTACTGCTTCTAAGAATAGGCCCTCATGTATGCATAGACCTTAACAGTTTAAAAAGCATTTTCATATCTATTCTCTCCTCTGAGCCCCATTAGTCTATAAAGTAGGCAGAGCAGAAGTTATCCCTGATGAGGGGTTCAGAGGGGTTAAGTGTTCTGCACAATGTCATGCAGTCAGCTAGAACTAGAACCAGAACCAGAGGATCTATCTTCTACCCACTCAAAGCAGGCTAGGTCCCTAGCACCACCTAGTCTGGTGGTGGTGGGAAGAAAGGACAGGCCCTCCCACACACTGCCACCCTCTGCTGAGAGGCAGGGGTATCTGGGCTGGGACTGGCCTTGAGCAGAGCTGGCAATTCCTCCTGGTAGTAGTGGTCAAGGTGGGCATTGGTGGCCACCAGGTTAAGCAGGTACTCGTTGCGGGCTGCTCTCAGCTGCTGGGAGTACTGGGCTGATTGGGCAGACAACTGGGAAGAGAAAATACATGTCAACAGGGACTGCTAGACCCTTGGGGTCCTTCCAAGGCCAATCCATATCCAGAATGGATTCTCACATTGAGTGCTTACTATACACCTGGTGCTACACTAAAACTTTTGTACACTCACAACTCGTGCTCAAGATGCACTGGTGGTGTCTGGGTTCATTTAAAATAAAATCCCAACTGCTCCTTACTGTGGTTTACCAGGTTTCACATGAGCTGGTCCTGCGACCTCTCTGACCTGTTTGCACAGTACTTGTCCCCTTTCTCACAGTACTCCAGCCACACTAGTCTTCTTTTGGTTCCTCAAGCCCACAAAGCTATTGCCATCTCAAAGCCCCTGAACTCACCATTTCCTCTCCCTGGAATGTTCCACCCCTAGATCTTTGCATGGCTGGCTCCTTCTTGACAGGCCATGTATTCAGAGAAGCTTTCTCTCTAAATTACACCCTGTTACCCTTTATCATAGCACCTTGTTTTGTTTTCACTTAGTCTGATTATTTGTTTATTTACTATCTGTCTGGCATTCACCAGACTCTGAAGGCAGGAACTCCATAGAATCCTCAATAAATGCACAGTAAAGGAATAAAAAGAAATGCACTATTGCCGTGTTACAGATGAAAAAAATGAGATTCAGAGAGATCAGGTTAACCAAGGTCAAGGACTGAAGGTGTAGGGAAGCCTGGATTCGTCCCAGTCTCTCAGATTTATGCCCTTGGTTTCCAAACCACGAGACTACTCTGCCCACCTCCTTCCTGCCCTCCCTCATATCCACATCCCCCAAACCTTGGTGCTGAGTTTCTGGAGACTGGTTCGAGTGTGGAAGAGCCCATGGTCACTTCGGTTCAGTCTGTGCAGGCAAGGAAGAGGAGTAGAGTTTAGGCCTGGCTGTCATGCCTTGGATCCCCTCCTCCTGCCAGGCTTCCCAACTCCACACGACCCCACCTAGCCTGGACATCAGCCGCCTTCTCCTGTGCCAAGGCCCACACACGTTCCCGCTGCCCATACAGCTTCCGACTTCGGCTCAGCTCCCGGACAGACTGCAGCACCTCAGCTTGTGCCCTCTGGAGGTTCTCTGCTCCCTAGGGGCATGGACACACAGAGTCCTGACCTGGATCACCCCAGCCCTGAGCCAGCCCTTCCTTCATCCCATCCACATAGACATACCTTCCTAAGCACCTGCTCCTTGGCACTCCGCCCTGTGCCCCCTGCCAGGTCACGGTATCGGTCAGATGCCTGGAGCCGGGCTTGGCCCCCAGCCACGGTGGCATCCAGCAGGCAGCGCCAGGCACCAAACACCATCCTGCCTCTCCCCATAGAAGGTCTGTGTTGAGGAGGAGAGCACTCCAAAGCTTCATGAGACCCCCCCAACCCCAACACCATAAGAGACAGAGTGCTTTCCCATCCCCCTTGTCTGGGAGCCTATCAATCGATCAGCCCATTAGCTCAGCCACAAGGATCACTCATGCCCTCTGCCCGCACCCACAGTGTCCTTGCTGGGTCAGCTCCTCTCTGGCTGCTGTGTCAGCTCTACCTACAGCTCACGTGCCCTCCCCCCTCACTGACTCTTTATTCCCATAGATTCCTGAGACTGAGCTCCTCATCTCTTCTAGGTCTCCTGACCTCCCTACTTCCATGGGACCCACCTGCTGTCCATCTCCCCACTCCGGTGCCCTTCCCTCTTCAGGAATGGCCCAGCCAGTTTCTGAAGTGCCTGGTGGGAAAGTCATCATAGACCCAGTTACCTCTCAAAGATTCTCACCAACTGGGAAAATATGGGATCAGAGTATACTAACGCCATTCATCAGATGCATATTATGTGCTACTTACTTTGCTAAGTGCTTTACATGCATTAACCTATCCCATCCTTACAACAACCCCATGTGAAGGTACAATTATTATTTCCATTGTACAGAGAAAGATGTCAAGGCCAAGAAAGGCTAAGTACTTTGTCCAAGGTCACACAGCCAACAAGTAGCACAAGAAAGATTTGACACCCCTCTGTTTAGGCCTTTGCTCTTGACCAGAACAGAAGAATGTGTGGAGAGACAATGCTGGTGGTTTAAAGGAGGCTAGAACAAAAGACAAAGTCCAGAGAAAGGAGTTCCATACCTGCCCATACTCCCGTTCAATGGCTGCCCTCTGCTTGCTGTAGGACCTGTGGAGATAAATGGAGCAGGGTGGTGTTACAGTTTAGTCCTGTTCTCCCACCCTCAATCCTCTCCTCAGCCTGGGCAGGAGGAAGAGGGGAGCCAGGCCTAGAGTGTGAGTATACCAGGAGCAAATGAGACTTGAGAGTCCTTGAGATCACCTCAGGCAGCTGCAACCCAGAACAACCTCACCTCATTGCTCAGAGCCTCAGCAGGATCCTCCCCCCCCACCCCTCCCACCCCCCCCCCCCGGGAGAACCATCAGTGGGCTCAGACGTGAGGACTGATGGGGGCCTGAATACATTGTCCTCCTGCCCTCCAACAGGTTTGGAAGAGGGAGGTAAGATTCTGCTCTAAGCTTGATTGTGTGGTGGAGGGAGTGGTATGGGGTCAAGGGGTTTCAGGGAGGGTACGTGCGTGTTTCTGTGTGTTGGGGTGGGAAGAAGGATAAGTCCTATCTGGTATCTGGAGAGGGAGGCCGAAAGTGAGGGCCAGTAATGGGCAGGGTGGAGAACTCTTCACCCTCTGCCTCCCCTCCCCGGCCCAGATCCGACGGATGTAGGTTTGAGGAGAGGCGGGGCGCGCAACGGCGAAGGTGGGGGGAGTACGTGGAGGGGATCAGAAGCTACCTGATGTCCTCCAGTAAATCTGCCTCCCTCTGCTGCCGGGTCTGAAGGATGCTCAGCTGCTCCAGGAAGCGAAGTTTCACCTCCTGAGCCGGCTTCACCTGTGAGGGTAAGAAGAGGATGAAGACCCCCAGCGCCTGAGACCTGGAAAAAACACTCCGCGCAGGGAGCGGTGAAGGGGCGGGACCGGGGAGGGGCTGGGCTGTTTCCTGGGTTACTTCTGGGTTAGGCCCTGAACCCTTACAACTCCTTGTCCCCCACTGCGGTTCCGGAGCCCCTTAACTCCCACCATTCCGCCAGCCCACCAGGAGTCCCCATTCCCAGGCCAAGCTCACTTTTCGGGGCGGCGGCTGCATCTCCGATCCGGCCAAGGCGAGCGACTCGACTCCGGAACTCGAGGAAGCCCCGCCCACGCCAAAGCCCCGCCCCGGACCTGGCTCAGCTCCGCCCCCGTCCCGCCCACGCCTCGTCCGACTTCGCGCAGGGCTGCGAAGCGCGAAGGTGCCGAGAAGAAACCGGATCAACTTCTGTTACTACTGCTAAAACTCCGGAAAGGGTCAGAGCCGCCGAGTGGACGCCGCGTCTGCTGCGCGGTAGGGAAACTCTAAGTTTCTGAGTCAAGACGCCTGGGTTCTGTTTCTAGTAGAGCCATTGACTCAGCTCTTAATTATTTCTAATCATTCATTTACATATGCAGATCTCCGGTGATGGCGCGAAGGGTGACGTGTGGCAAGGAGGAACTCAGTTTGTGACCAGGGAAACTGAGTCACTGGATGCCTGAGCAAAGATGATTTTGACAAGGGAAACAGGACTGTTCTCATACCCTTCCCAAATTCCCAGAGAACTGGAAAAGCCAGCGTGAGTGGTGAGAAAATTGCCTGGAGCCAGGAAGAAACCAGTCCCAGAGGAAAACAGGTGTGTCTGGGGCCAATGGAAGCTAAATGGTACTTGTGAGTGGATATAAGCGGGGAGATGGGTGTGGGGCCTTGCGTCCCAGAAGGCCCCTCTCACCGTTAGGGCCTACTTTTCAGGTTCTGCACTGCAGTCCTGTGGCCCCAAATTCACATTTCCAACAGACCACAGACACCAGCACTTGTATGTCTAATAGATACCTCACACCTTTAAAACTGCTTCTTCTCCCTGACCCTTCCCAAGTTATCTTCCCCAGATAAAATACCAAAGGGCACCTCTTTCCATCCAGTTAGGAAAGTCTGAAACCCAGAGTCAGTCTGCCCTTTTCTCATACCCCCACATTCCATCCGTTAGCAAGTTCTATAGGTTCTATTTCTAAAAGATCTCTTATTGATCACCTTCCTTCAATTCCCAAAACCACCAACCTAGTCCAAGCCCCATAATCAGTTTTCTGTCTAATATCTGGTCTTTCACTCTCTCCCCACCCCCAACTCCCTCCATAACCCATTGTTCACAAAATAGCCAGTGATTTATCTTTTTTTAAAAAAGAAAATGAGATCATATCACTCTCTTCCTTAAAACTTCTCAGTTGCTTTAGAATAAAATCCAAACACCCTAGCATGGCCCGCAAGGCTGTGCATTATTGGGCCCCTGCCAATCTTTCCCCTTTCGGCCCATACACTTCTCTGGCTCCCCACTCACTGTGCTTCAGCAACTCCAGCCTCCTTGCTGTTTCCCCAGCAGGCCAAGTCTTCCCATTGCAAAGCCTTCATGCCTGCTGCTTTCCCTCTCCTTCTGGAGTGCTCCTTCTTCCAGTACTCCACATGTCTGGCTTCTTTATTTTTTATTTATTAAAAACATTTTTTTAAGTTTTTTTATTTATTTTGAGAGAGAGAGAGAACAGGGGAGGGGCGGAGAAAGAGGGAGAGAAAATATCCCAAACAGACTCTGTGCAGTCAGAGCAGAGCCCTATGTGGGGCTTGAACTCACCAACTGTGAGATTGTGACCTGAGCCAAAATCAAGAGTTGGACACTTAACCAACTGAGCCACCCAGGCATCTCTTTATTTTTTAAGTTTTTTAATTATTTAAGCAATCTCTACACCCAACATGGGGCTCACACTCATGACCCTGAGATCAAGAGTTGCATGCTTTTTTGACTGAGCCAGCCAGGTGCCACCAAATCAAGTCCCATTAGTTTTGTTTGTTTGTTTGTTTGTTTTGTTAAGTACACTCTATGCCCAGCATGGGTTTGAACTCACAACCCTGAGATTAATCTGAAGTACTCTACTGACTGAGCCAGTCAGGCACCCCTATCTGGCTTCTTTAAGTTTCAGCTCATTACAGAGGCCTTCCCCATCCTCCCAGCCTAAGGGCCATCTCCACAAACACGTCACTTTAGGTTTAATTTCTTCACATCACTGAATTAGTTTGTGTATTTAATGTTTTCTATTCCTCTACACTGGAAGCTCCATAAAAGCAGTACCCATCTGTTCTGTTCACACTGAATACCTAACACCCAATTAGGTGCTCAGTACATATTTGCTGAATGAATGAATGAATGAATGAATGAATGAAGCAACAGTAGCCTTTGGTTCCAAGGTTTATTAACAATGACACATCTTTGTTGGCTCCTCTTTACCCCAACTCTCAACCCCAATCAATCTCCCGACTCTAGGTCTTCAATGTAGTTCCCAAATGTAGGAGGTGGGGTAGGATAGACTTGGAAATCATTCAGCTCTCTGGCTTCCAAATCCTTTTTTTTTATTTAATGCAGTAAAACCATTCTTTTCAAACCCAAAATGTCTCACAGGACACCTACATATCAAATATATAAAGAGTTGTCCTTGATGAGGAAAAATATGTGGGGCTTACTGCTCTAAGAAACAGTTTGATGTTCACTGTTCTCCTTATTTCAGTGACATCATGGTACATATAATGAGTGGAGGTTCAGTGAGGGCCACATTCAGACCCTCTCTGGGTAGGAGAGTCCAGAGCCCTGAGTCCTGTGGTCTTTCCATAGCACCGCACTGGATTTTAGAGTCTTTCCATCCAGAGCAGAGGAGGCTCCCAGCAGTGTCTGCCATGGTGAGAACTTGGGTCTTCTGGTTACCTACCCCTTCAGACTTCTGGTCTTAGGGTTATGTGAGGGGCTGGCTGGAGGGTGAACTAGAAGAGGAAGGTTGGGTGGGGAAGCCAGGTGTCTGTGTCACAAGGCCATTGGGGCTCTGGGACTGAGGGCTGGAGGGCTGGGAGGGGCTGCCTAGGCCTATGGTGGTTTCTCCTTTCCTCAGGATGAGGCTGTTAAGCTCTTGGAGCAGCTGTTCCTCCAGGGACCCACGTGCCTGGGAGCTGCTCTTTGAAGGGGGGCCTGGAGGGAGCTCTGGTGGCCTTTCCTCTGGGCCTGGGGCACCTGCCTTGGGGAAAAAGGGTTGATCAAAGGACCTCTGGCTGGTGAGGGGCGTCTCAGGGTTGGCTGTCTGATCTCTCATGGTGGAGAAGGAGGTAGAGGTGTCCTTGGTCAGTTCAGGGAAGGCTCCCACTTCCTCATACACTGGCTCCTCATAGACAGGCTCCTCCAGTTCCTCTTGCTCCTCCACAGACCCCTGGGTTGACTTCATTGGCTGGATGGGAATGAGGTGGCATGAAGCAGGCACGGAGTTAGAGTTACTACATTATTAATCACTAACATTTATTGAGCTCTTCTTCTGGGCCAGATGCTCCAAAATACTTTGCATGTATGATACCAAAATAACTCTGTACAATGGGTTACACTGCAGGTGAGTGAACTGAGGCACAGAGGGATTAAGTAAGTTGCCCAAGATCACACAGTGAGTAAATGGAAGAACTAGGGCTTCAGCCCAGGTCTAACTCCAAAATGCATTCACTTAACCACTTTGCTTCTCTTTCTCAGATCTTATGACCACTTCCCTTTTCCTTGTCACATCCTACCGTCCTTTATTTTTCTGATTCCTTCTGGTCCCTCACTATACACTGTCCGTCTCCTTCTCTGTCTGTTTGCCTGTCTGTCTCTCTCTCTCTCATACACACACACACACACACACACACACACACACACACACACACACTGATGGCCTGCATCAGAACAAATAGAGAGGGTACACCGGTTCAGGCAGCACAGAGGAACACACAGCTGATGGGCACACAGCTGAGACAGGCACAGTACTCACAAAGAACATGGACAGGGTCCTCCGGTTGTGAAGTCGCCGCTGGGCACAGGTGGGATGGGGGTGAGGAGAGGGAGAGACACAGAGACACAGTGAGGCCTGGCAACAGGAGGCAAGGGTGGGGAGTGGGGACACAAAGAAGGCAGAGGGGGGGCACTAGGATGACAGGCACATCACTCCCCTCCTGCAGTGTGGCAAGGACACAGGCAGGGATCAGGAAGGCACTGGAGCAGGCTGGGGGACCTCACCAAGGTCTGATTTGCAGAGAGGAGGGTGGCCCCACTGTCATCCCCTCTGATGGGCAGCAAAGGCATAGTGCCAAACTTCTGACGGGCGAGGTCAGAGGAGGAATGGCGTCGTAAGACCACTGGCTGCTGGTCATCGTGCTGGAGGGAATTGAAGAATTGGCACAATGGGTATGGGTGGTACTGAAGACTAGAGCTGGGACCTCCGACCTAGCCCTCAGCTTTCTCCTTCCCCTCACCTGGGCTTTGAGGATGCTGGTGGTCCAATCCCACATCTCATCCTCATCACTGCAGGACAGGTAGCTGGGGGTGATCAGAGGGAAATGAGCTGGAGAGGAGGGATTGTAGCTCTAGGGATGGAGGATAGGGAGGGGTTGGACAGGGTGCAGGGCTAGGCTAGAGAAGAGCCAGGCTGGGAGGTACTCACAGGTGCATCTTCTCCAGTATCAATGTGAAGCCCCACCTAGGAGGCAAAGGAGAACAGAGAAGGGTGATTAGAAAGGCCAGAAAGGTGATGGCAGGAAGGCCCTAGAAATGTGGGCTGGGGAAGGACACTCACGGTGTTGGAGGCTTTAACTTCTTTCGGATGCCCAGGTAGACCTTGGAACCTTCCAAAGGCCACTCTCGTTCTGGTTTAGAGCTCTGAGAACAAGAGGGCAGTCAGTGAGGTCAAAAGGTGAGAGCAGGATCACAGTCATTTGGGTCAAGAAGTCATGGAAACACTGGGGTTATGCAATCACAGGGTCACAGAGGTCAAAGGACCAGGGCAGCAATGAGATTGATAAGCACATGATTTGTGGAGTGAGAGGCTTGATGTAGTCACAGCTCCTCCCACAGGGCTGCCAGCCTCCCTCACCTTCTTTTCCTTGAGCAGCAGCAAGCAGCGACCACGCAGCAGAAAGAACCTCTCCTGGAAGCGGTTTCCCAGTAAGCGGGGTGGCTCCTCCCTACATCGCAACAGACCCACCCTTGGGCTCTCGCGGCGGATACCTGGGCACAAACGGGCAATGCTGGGTGGAAGGTCCTGGGGGAGAGGCCTGGGGATGGGGATGCTGGACTGAAGAGGGAGGTTCACCTGTGAAGAGGCAGCCGGCCTGGGCCAGGGAGACTTTTCTCAAGAGCAAGGAGGCTGAGCAGGGCTCTGGGAGCTGGCACCATTGAAGGGCCTGCTCTAGGACCCTTTCCTTGGGGTGCAGGGGCCGCTCTAAGGAAGGGGTAAAGTGGGAGTGAAAATCAACCAGAATATCCGTCCACAGCCTGGAGCCCCCAACTCCTTTCCCACGAGTCACATTCATTTATCCAATCCACCACCCAGCCACAGGTATTTATTTTAGCACCGACTCTGTGCCAGGCACTGTGCTGGCCCTAGGGATACAGTGATGAGCACGAAACACAAAGCCCACAGCACAGTGAGGGAGCAGACCTTAAGTCTGCCTTAAGTCAACCAAAGAATTGCAGACAATTAGTGCTTTGAAAGAAACAATAAGAAGCTGAGAGAGAGGAGGGCAGCCACTGGGACAGGGTAATGCCCAGGAAAGGCCATTCAAATTTTTAAATGTTTTTTAACATTTACTTATTTTTTTTCAGAGACACATAGAGACAGAGCGTGAGTGGGGTAGGGGCAGAGAGGGAGACACAGAATCTGAAGCAGGTTCCAGGCTCCAAGCTGTCAGCACAGAGCCCGACGAGGGGCTCGAACTCATGAACCATGAGATCATGACTTGAGCTGACGTCAGACACTTAACTGGCAAGGCCTTTCAAAAAGGGGGCATTTGAGGATGAGACTGAGGCCAGAAGGGGTGGGAAGAACAAGCCATGCTAAGATCAGGGGAAGAAAATTGCAGGCATGACAAAATGTAGGAATAAAGGCCCTGAGTCAAGAAAGATGTGTTTGAAGAACAGCTAGCATGGCTGAAGCCCAGAGAATGAGTTATGTGAGATGAAGTCCAAGAAATAAGCAAGGTCCAGACGCTCAGGGATTGTGGGCCGTAATAAGGAATTTGAATTTTATTTTAAGTCCAGTGGAAAACCATCGGAAGGTAATGGCATGACGTGATTTACGCTTGCAATGCGTGTTGACTGCTGGAAAATGGATCATCGGGAGGCAAGAAGGGAACACTAGCCAGCTATTCCCTTTCTGGGGCTTTACATTTTAGTGGTTAATGTTGGGAGAAGAAAGATAGCAGTGACTTCATCTTGGGTGGTGGTAATGGTGGAGATGGAGAGAAGTGACAGATTGTAATAGAATCAACAAGACTAGGTGGTTGGGTTAGGTGTGAAGTTGAAGGAAAGGGAAGACTCCCAGCCTTGATAACTGAGTTAGGGAAAACTGGGAAATAGCTGGGGCTTTTTGTTAGGTGAAGGGGTCTGGAAACTGAGTTGAGTCTTGCACATTTTAAATTAGAGATGCTTATGAGACGTACAAGTGGAGGTGTGCAGTGGACAGTTGAATATGTGAGTCTGGAGCTCAGAGGAAAGATCTGGGCCAGAAATAAAAATTTGGGTGTCAGCTTTTTAATGGCACTTAAAGCCACTGGAATGGATGAGGCATCCAAGGAAGAATGTAGATAGAGAAAGGAAAAGGGTCCAGGTTGAATACTGGGTTCCTCCAACATTTGGAATCTAGGCAAAGGAGGAAGAAAAGCCTTCTTTGATGCAGAAGGGAAACCTAGGGTTTGTGGGGTCCACAAAAGCCAAGAGAGAAGAGAGTATTGAGAAAGAGGGAGTGGTCAGCAGTGTAGAATGTCCCCTCACATGCACGAGGACAATGTCCACTATGTTTGGTAAAAGAAGGCACTGGTGACTTTGATCTCCCCCCATCACATGTGCATCCACACACACATGGTCATGCTCACCAAGTTCCCCGTGCTCACGAATTTCAAACGTCACCCATAAGTCCATCCCAGCATCTGTCCCCCGCATCTCCAATACCTGGTTAGTCAGCTCCTCAGCAGTCAGTGTCGGAGACACCTGGGGTCATGGCAAGAGCAGGGGACCCATGCTGGTCAGTTCACTGACCCTGCTTCCCCCAATCCTCCCATCTCCCCACCTGTCCCCTTAGGACTGACCTTCAGGGTAACACAGTTGTCTGGGAGCTGCTGTTCTATATAAACCTCCATGATGAGGTCTCCAGCCTGGGACAGCTGAGGGGACGGGTAAAGTATTCAGGAGGACACAAGAGAATCCAAAATATCAAGGTCAGAGGACCCTTATGTTGCCTCATAAGCACTTCCCCCCACAAAAGTCTCCTCCTACCCCTCATCCCCAATGTGGCTCAGGCCCTTATAAGGGAGAACCCCAGGAGTGGCAGAACCACATCTTCAGGCTGCATGGGTATTTCCCAAGGCAGTACAACATATGGAAAGACAAGTTTAGAGTCAGACTCTCTGGGTTACATCTCTGGCACTCACTACAGTATGACTTTGAATAAGTGACCCTCAAGGCCTTCTTTTTTATAACTATTTTTTTAATGTCTATTTATTTTGAGAGAGAGACAGAGCAGGGGAGGGGCAGAGAGAGAAAGAATCCCAAGCAGGCTCTGCGCCATCAATGCGGAGCTCAACGCAGGGCTGAAACTCACTAACAGTCAGCTCATGACCTGAGCTGAAACTGAGTCAGATGCTCAACCAACTGAGCCACCCAGGTGGCCCACTCTGTTTCTTTATTTGAAAAAATAGGACTGTACACCTCATGGAGTTGTGTGATGTTAAAGTGAGATCATAGGGTTTAGAATATAAGTCCTCTGCTGTTTGTTATCCTATTTATTACTACTATTCTCAGCACTTGGTCTAACTTAGCTAACTCTTCCTTGGATCTTTTTTTTACATGCAGAACTGAAGTACTCGCCACCATTGTGTAATGAAGAATCCTCATTTTGGAATAAGTGGAGTAAATCCTAAACCAAACCCCTCTCTCCAAAGCACTCCCCTCCTTGGTTTCCCCCTTTCTCTGAAAGCTGACGGCCAATGTCCAGCAGCAGAAGGCCACCCTCCTGTCTTGATATCCCCTCCTGGCCCACTCAGGAGTCTAAGGTCAGGACAAGTTACCTGTACATCCTTCCAGGTGGTGATAAGACTGACTTCCAAGTCAATCTGAGCTACCTGGTCAGAGTCAATCTGTGGAAGAGTCAAAAAGAAGTGTGTATTGTGGAGGTGGGGGGTGGTGCTAGGAAATGAGGGAAGAAGGGAGAGATGTACAAGACCAGAGGGTCTATATGAGAGCATTAGAGGCCAGAAAAGCTAAGAACTAATGGGGCATGGGCATTTGGAGTGACATTATGGGATAGAGGGGCCCAGGGCTCTGGAAGGTGATTCCCGATGCAGAGGGCTTTCAGAGGTCTGGGCTGGGGTCCTGTTGGGGAGAGCAAGATCTAGAATCCAGGAAGAGGGACTATAGTCAGGGGTTGAGAGAGCTTACATTAAAGACAGAGATGTAGCCATCGATGAGTTCCTGCAGCACCCGCACCTCATGTTCCCCCCGCCCATCTGTCTGGAACACACTAGGTGCAAACAGCAAGGCCAGGTTCCGCGTGCACATTTGGTTTATAGCAGCACACTTTTGCACCCTGCAGAAGGGCGTGACACGGGTCACAAGGGATGCAGCTTGTGCTCACCTGTTGGTCAATGCATCCATTCATTCAGCAAATACTTATTGAGTTCCTACAGTATGCCAGGCCCTGGGCTAAGCATTTGGGATACAGCTGTAAGACACAATACTGGCCTCAAGGAGCTCCCAGTCTAGGGGAGAGACAGATAAGGAATGGGTGATTATAAATATTGTAGGAGGCAGCACACTTTTATGTAAAGGGACAGACAGTAAATATTTTAGGCTTGCAGGCCACACGTTCCCTGTTGCAATTCCTCAGTTCTACTGTTGTAGTATGAGAAGAGTTATAGACTATATAAAAGTGAATGGGTGTGGCTTTACACTTCATGGACAAAACTTCATCTAGAAATACAGGCAACAGGTTGGATTCGGCCCATGGGCCATAGTTGGCCCATCCCTGTGATATAGAGTAATCAGTACAATACAGCCAGTGTTCACCTTAGAATCGTTTAAAGTCCTGTCTCCCCAAGAGACTGGTCAAGATAGATCTGCAACTTACTCTTCTTTGTGTCTCCTACATCTAACCCTTTGTCTGTCATAGAATAATAAAGCAAAATAATATTGATTGCTTACCGTTTTTGAATTCTTACTACATACATGCCAGGTGCTATCGTTAGGATTTTGGAAGGATTATTTCCTTCAACTCTCATGACCTAGGAGGTGGATACTATTCGTTACACCATCTTCCTTTTACAAACGAGGAAACTGAGGCTCAGAGAGTACAAATAACACCCAAGGTGACACACTAGAATGGTGGAAAACTAGAGTAAAGCTTAGGTCTGCCTGACCTCAAAGTCCACACTCTGAACCTTTGTGCTCTGACGCTTTCACTTAGCAATTGTTTACAGGATGAATGAATGAATGAATGTGGGGGGCAGGTAGAGCTGATAAAGGGTCAGTGAGGAGCCTGCGGGGGTCCTGGCCATACTGACCGATAGAGATGCCCAATGAGGGTAGCCAGCGTGCGGCGGTTAACCTGTGGCAGGCAGCCAATCACTTCTTTGTACTTCTCCAGGCGCTGATTCTTCTGTGGTAACTCTGGGATGGAAAGGGGAAGGGGTGGAGATGATCTGGGAAGGGAGCGTGGAGGGATTTTTGAAGAAACAAACCTAGGGTGGATGTGCCTCTGCCCCCTTCCCACCTTGACCTAAGCTGAGTCCTTGAGTGATCCTGAGGGGTGGGGAGGAAGTACTGGGGAGGATGGCTGCCCAATCCCACAAAACAGCCTCAGGGATTCAAGGGTGTGTGTGGGGGGGGTGGGGTGGGGGGTGGGTGGAGTTCCTGGTTGTCCCTTGGCTATCTGTGAAGAGTTTTTAGGGACCTTGGGAGTACCAGCAGCCTCCCTCCAGCGGGGCAACAACCGTGCACAGGTCACAGGGTCATCGAGCTCTCGAAAGAAGCGTTTGAGCGTATCGGTGACATCCTCCACGAAGTGCTCCCCTGGCCGGAGCTTCACTGACCGGGCATCCCGCCGGAACTCAGCAAGGAGCCGAAGGCTACGGGCGCGGGCACCCCCTTTCCGGTATATGCCCTCCAGCTGGAGCCCTGAGAACAGCCAGCATCTCTGCTCACCACTGCCCAAAGACCCACCCACCCACCTGGTATCCAGTATCTGTGACCTACCCCCACCACCCCCCCCCCCCGACATGCTGTAGGGCTATTGGGGTAAATGGGCCAGAGAGGAGGAAGTCTGCCTCCATGGTCTTGACTCTCAAGACCCTGCTCAAGTACTCCTGCTCGGAAGGTCCTTCCCTAACCATGATATTACACAGAGTCCCCATCACTCACTATTTTGGTTTTGAAATAGCACTTTCAAATCATATTACAGTCAATCCTCACTATTCAGATTCAATATTGTGAATTTATCTACTTGCTAAAATTTATTTGAAACTCCCAAACCAGTACTTGTGGCACTTTCCCAGTCATTTGTGAACATGCGCAGAGCAGAGATGAATTTGAGTTGCCTATTGGACACATTCCCAGCTAAGCTCTCATATGGTAAACAAGTGTAGTCTTCATGGTATATATAGAACCACATTTTTTCATTCTTGTGCTTTTTTTCTTTGGGTAGTTTCACTATTTGAAATGGCCCCCAAGTGAAGTGCTAAAGTGCTGTCTAGTGTTCCTAAGTACAAGAAGGCTGTGATGTGCCTTATGGAGAAAATATGTGTGTCAGATAAGCTTTCCTTATGCATGAGTTACAGTGCTGCTGGCTGTGAATTCAAAGTTAACAGATCACAAATACATATTAAAGCAAGTATCTTTAAACAGAAACAAACTTAAAGTTACATATTGATGGATCAGTTGATGAGAATGTGACCAGAGCTTCCCAGGAACCCAACCCTGTATTTCCACTGGGGCAACAATTTAGCATTCATTCATTCAATGTTTGCAGTAACTTCATAGAACAAAACTACCATGAATAATGAGAACTGACTGTATTTTTCTTACTTATTACCCAGTTCTCCCACTAGTCTCTGAGCATCATAGAACTTTCCCTTTTCACCACTATATGTCCAGTGTCTGGCAAATGGGAGCAGCTCAGTAAACATCTGCTGAATGAAGAGTGGCAGTCCAGGAACTGTGGAGGAGTGGGTATGGGCACCCATGCTCTTTCTCCAGGGCTTTCACTGGACTGCTGACTTAATCCCTCCTTTGAACATGAGGAAGACTGAGAACAGGATGGGATCTAGTGAGCAGGCAAAATCAGTGCATGAGGCTACTACCAAAGTGTGGAGAATGTCATTAGCCACTCACTATCCACTGTCAATGTTGTAAGCACAACTATTTGTAGTTAATGGATGTGCCTTTCCCCCCTTTATTGCCTTCCTTAGTTTTCCATGAAGTTTCCTTCTCAAGAGTCCTGCCTTCTAGGGGCACCTGGGTGGCTCAGTCAGTTAAGTGTCCGACCTTGCCTCAGGTCATGATCTCATGGTTCATGGGTTTGAGCCCAAATTGGGCTCTGTGCTGACAGCTCAGAGCCTGGAGCCTGCTTCAGATTCTGTCTCTCTCCATCTCTGCCCCTCCCCCACTCATGTTCTGTCTCTCTCGTCAAAAATAAATAAACGTTAAAAAAAATTAAAAAAAAAAAAAAGAGTCCTGCCTTCTAAAGGGGGTTCATCAAGGAGCTAGATTCTACTTGGTGCCTCCTTGGGCTGGAGAATAAAGCAGAGGCCAAAAAGTCACAGAGAATTCTGGGAGCCACTTGCACAGCTGAGCCTTTATGCCTGGAAAAACTCCCACACAGAATAAATCTGCTCAGACCTTCAAGGATTTTGCTGCACAGCTTGGCTCTTGCCTTACAGCTGCCCCCTCTTTGTTCTTTATGGCTCTCCATCTCCAGTCACATTTCAGTGCTGCTCTGCTCCCCTTCCACGCCCACAGCCCACTAACAGCTACCTTGGAACACTTACTACCTGCCAGATGCTGTGCTAAATGCTTTACATATGTTCTCTTACTATCACAACTATCCTAGAAAACGAGGACTGTTAGTAGCCCCATTCTACCAATGGGGGAACTGAGGCTCAGAAAGGTAAAGAAGCTTGCCAAGGATCATACAGCAGGTTGTTGTTAGGCTGCAATCTCTGGAGGCAAAGCTTCTGTAGGCAGATCACAACTTCTGGCTGTTCCTATGTCCCCCATCCCCTACTGGCTCAGTATTGGCCAGTACCCACTCACCATGCTGGGTGACAAAACTGATGCAGGCATCCACGATGATGGGGATGTCACCCCGGCTCATCTGCTGCTCTTGCAGCCCTGTGCCGCCCCCGCCAGCGGCCCCCTCAATGGCCGCGGTCCATGCTGAGAAATCCAGCCGGCCCTCCCCCTGCAGATACAGGGTCCTGAGACCCAAGAGGCCTGAGTCAGAGCCAGCTCCTGAGGGTCCTTTTAACTAAGAGGCCCAGGATCACAAGGCCCAGCCTTCCAAGAGCCACCAGCAGGGGGCAGCAAAATTCAACCCAGACAGAGCCCCTGAACTAGGCAATGGAATTTGAAGAAGTGGGTAGTGGTCCAGCAGACCAGGGTGGAGGGCGGAGCGGGGCGGGCTCTAGAAAGAGGGATCCAGGGTCAAGGATAAGGGCAACACTTACCTTCCTGTTTCCACCAGGACCAAATGCTCCTTCTTGTCTGGGGTGTCAGCTGCTGAAACCACACCTGGGAGGAGAACCATGAGACAGTATCATGACTGTCTTCATCATAGTGACTAATATTTACTAAGTATTTAAGGTATGTAGGTGCCAGACTAGGAACCCTACAAACAATGCTGTATTAAATCCTGTAAGTTACATACTATTATCCCCATTTTACAGGTGACACATTAATGCTCAGAGAGGTTAAGCTGCTTGTCTCATTACTTGTTATAAAATGGCAAAGCTGAGCTGGAACTCAGGTCTCTTGTCTCCAAAGCCCTGTGATATTATCCCATACTGTTCTCTTTGAGGAAGTGA